AAAGGACAACATATAGGTTTAGTGCATGTTCAAAGACAACATAAAGGGTAGTAGTTTATTCTTCAAACTTAAATTTGCAACACTGTGAAGTTAGTATTTGTCTTTGTCTTTTGGTTGAAGTAATGCAATCCATTCAAGTTTCAATTTGCAGAAGAAGAATAGCTTCTGAAACTTAAAATCGCAACACAAAACTTAAAATCGCAACATGAAAATGATTATCGCAACGAGATAATCACAATGAGAAAATCGCAATGCGAAACTAAATTCGTGTTGCGATAGTCATTTTCGCATTGTGATTATCCCGTTGCGATAGTCATTTCCGCGTTGCGATAGTCGTTTTCGCATTGCGATAGTCAAATTCGCGTTGCGATAGTCAAATTCGCGTTGCGATAATCATTTTCGTGTTGCGACTATTCTTCTTCTGCAAATTGAAACTTGAATGGATTGCATTACTTCAACCAAAAGACAAAGACAAATACTAACTTCACAGTGTTGCAAATTTAAGTTTGAAGAATAAACTACTACCGAATGAATTTACTAAGCAATCCAAAAGACAAATATGAATTTACTGACAACCAAAAGACAAATACTAAGTTATTTTAGAACTATTTAGCAGTATTGGCAGCAACCGAATGAATTTACTAAGCAATCCAAGTGAAATGGTTAATCTAAGTGAAATTACGAGTAAATCAAGTTAAATGAAAAATCTTAAACTTACCTCGTTGCGTAGAGTATGAACCTCATTCTACAACGATGCTATCATCTCACGTAGAGCCGCTACCTCACCACGTAAAGTAGATACCTCCTCGCGCCATTCACCATTGTCATCGCGTAAAGTACTGACCTCCTCATGCAAGGCATTGACCTCATCACATAACTCCCCTAACTCATCCCGTGGAGGTGGAGAACAGGGAGATAAATGTCGTGGCATCTTTACCGATCGCCTATCATGAGGTGATGGTGGAGAAGAGGCTCGATGATGTGACAGAATAGGTGATGGCTCTCGTTGTAGAGGTGTATAGTGTGGTCGATCAGGTGATGGCTCTCGAAGTGGAGGCTGCTCATCATCCGTGCCATCAAAAAAATGTTTACTAGCTTGCCACCAATCAGTGGCAAGCTCAGCCTCCGTGGGTGTCAGCCTCTGTAATGGAGTATTGGCCTCCTAATAATATAAAAGCTCAAATAAAGTTAAACGTGTACTAGTAATAACTTGTTTATATATGGTAGTATTTGTGTTAACTTACATCATTTATTATCGTATACCGTAGTAACTCTTCCCAAATCAACAGCCGTCGTTTCCTCTTCCAGGAAATATCCCTAGGAATATCATTTGAAGTTTTGAATGCATATGTCTGCATGTCGGGAAAAGCCTCAAATATCCAAATCTACAAACAATATAATACATAAACATTAGTAATTGTTAAAATAATTAATTATAATTTTGGAAACATTATATAGAAATTCTTACCTTAAAGGCCCAAATAAAACCTGACAAGTGTATTTGGAACCATCGCCACGTAAACTTTTGCGGTCATCAAAGGCAGACGACAACTTATTCCAGGTAGCTTTCCATAGATACGAACCCCACGGAAATATGTTCTATGCATTTAGGTCCTCTACCAATAATATTAGGTCCTTAGGAATAGGTTGTTTGCCCTCTCTGCCTAAAAAGTCGGCATGCAAAAGTACTAAAAGACATACTCGGACAACATTGACGTCATCCATCTGAGTAAAACCATCTTTCTTATTAAATAATCTCGTCAAGTCGTCGACGTGTAAATTCGGCTTCTCCATTGACAGCTCAGGAACAACCTGGGATAACCATGATGGGCGGGTAATATGACTAGTGTATCGACCTACATCATTGTGTCCGAAGCATAGACCAGTGATTAAGCAAAACTCCTCCCGCCCAAAACACGTATACGCCGATGGAAAATGAAACCATATCTCTTCATTACCACGTTCTATACTCTCGGGTAGATCGCGTGTCATGGTCTGAAGCCACAAATGGGTCAACATAGCATCTCCACCCGGATGTTGTACTTTCAGCCATGGCCCGAAGTAAGTATCCTTAAACAATTGTCTTTGTACAGGTGAAAGCTTCGACGCAATTGTAGTGACTAGGCTTATTTTATTCCTTAAGGTCAATTGAGCCGAAAAAAAGTTCTACAAAAACAGTAAACATACCAAGTTAGATATACCAAAAACTACACTGTGAAGATATACCAAAAACAATAATAAACATAAAGTGTAGTAGTTTATTCTTCAAACTTAATTTTGCAACACTGTAAATTTCGTATTTGTCTTTGTTTTTTGGTTGAAGTAATGCAATTCATTCAAGTTTCAATTTGCAGAAGAAGAATAGTTTCTGAAACTTAAAATCGCAACACGAAAATGAAAATCGCAACACGAAAATGATTATCGCAACGCGAATTTAACTATCGCAATGAGATAATCGCAACGCGAAATGGCTATCGCAACGCGAATTTTGTCGTTGCGATTTTCATTTCGCGTTGCGATTCTCGTTTTCAAATGGTCATTGTCTAAAATTGAAACTTGAATGAATTGCATTACTTCAACCAAAAGACAAAACAAAGACAAATACTAACTTCACAGGGTTAAAGACTAAACAGTAACAGTATTGGCAGCAATCTATTATTGAAATTACCAGTAAACTTATCATTAATTTCAATATGAAAAACCTAATAATAATGCAAAAATTTCAAAATAAAAATAATTAAAAAAACTAACCCTCGGTGGTTGATTTGGTTGATTTTCCATTTCTGATCGTGAATGATTGTGAGGGTGGCTCTGAGAGATGGAGATAGACGGATTTCGCCGGAGATGGGGACGAATTTCGCCGTAGAGAGTGAGAGATGGAGATGAGACCGAGTTGTGATTTAGGGTTTTAGGTTAAGAGTTGCGATTATGATGTAAATATTCGTATTTGGAATTTGAAAATAAAATACGCGTTGCGATACTAATGGCGTTTTGAAAATCGCATTGCGATTTTATATTATCGCAACGAGCTCGTTGCGATAGTCAAAATCACGTTGCGATCACGTATTATCGCGTTGCGATAGTCAGAATCTCATTGCGATCATGTGTTATCGCGTTGCGATTTACATATTCGCATTGCGATTATCTAAAATCGCAACGCGGATTTCGAAAATTACAATGCAATGGTCAAAATCGCGTTGCGAATCTAGAAACTGAATTGCGATAATGGAGATCGCGTTGCGATTTAAAGATCGCATTGCGATTTAAAGATCGCATTGCGATTTTGTTGGTCATTTTGGCAAATCGTAAAAAAGTTAGTTAAAATCGTATATTATAAGGAATTTTCGGTCACTGAGGTTATTTTCTATTTAATAAATAAATAGTTTCATCAAAATTGGAAGCTCCCTTTTATTATTAATGCTAAAATAAATTAGGTATTTAATTAATCACTTATTTTTTATGTTTCATTTTAATTATTTAATTATTTTTAAAATACGAGTGATTAAAACATAGTTTGCACTATTGTTAAAATGTATAGAGTTTTGATGTACTAGATTTAACAAGACTTTGGAGTCCGAGGCTTTGCTCCTTTACCCAGACATAGAAAGCGCGTGTAGTAAAAGCGTTTGAGCTGAGGATCTGACACCCGAAAGAGAAACAATGCAAACAGCATCCATTGTGAGAGCCGAGTTCTGCTTATCATTCTCTTCTCCTACTTAGATCCTCTAATTCCCATAACTGATTCCCAATCTTTGATATATAATTCTTCTAGGCTCTAGAATATCTCTAGTTTTATTCTACTCTTCTTTCCCTTTATAATTCGGAGGGTAGCTTGCTTATTCAGTGTTCAGAGATTAAACAGATGCTGTTAACTATAGCAAGAAGCTTAAGATAGTGAAAAATGGAGAGATGCAGAAAAACGTGATATCAATCTTGCATTTACAGTAATGAGCAGCAGCTATTTAAAGCTGTTATTGAACTGTTACATGATTAGTTGTAGCAATCCTACAACCGTCTATAAGCCTAACTGAATGCAGTTTAACAGGCTTAACCAATATGGTTTAACATTCACTTTGCTTCTTACAGACTTCCTTCAACTCAAACACACATAGTTTACATCTAAACAGATCAAATTTAACTAAGGGAAGAGGCTTAGTTAAAATGTCTGCTACTTGGCTATTAGTGGGCACATAGTTGATTTGAACTTCACGAGCTGCCACCTTTTCACGCACAAAGTGTAAGTCTAGCTCGATGTGCTTGCTCTTTGCGTGCAGTATGGGGTTTGCTGCCAGCAAGACGCTTAAGATAGTGAAAAATGGAGAGATGCAGAAAAACGTGATATCAATCTTGCATTTACAGTAATGAGCAGCAGCTATTTAAAACTGTGATTGAACTGTTACATGATTAATTGTAACAATCCTACAACCGTCTATCAACCTAACTGAATGCAGTTTAACAGGCTTAACCAATATGGTTTAACAGATGCATAGTTGTCCATTGCGTAGGCCGAATTCTTTTGAGCTTCAGTTACTTTTTAGCAAGGTTAGATTTTAAAGCTTAACATGTTATAACTTTAAATATACTAATACCCATTTATTTTAAAAAGAACACTGTTCTTCAGTGCTTTCACGAATTCTTGTGTTTTTCTTTTATGGATTAAGAAAATGGGTAAATTTTGGTATTTCTTTTACTTCAGTGTTTTTAGATTCTTAGTTTGAGTATCTTTCTGGAATAAGAGGAAAATACATTTCTTTTAAATAATAGTAACACTGGGATTTTACTAAATTTTCGAGAGAGTAGGTTTTAAAACCCCGCCGAAAAGAGATTTCTGATTAAAAAAAAGTATCGTATTTTAGTTGCTTTTTTGGTTCATTTTGACAGCATTTTCTTTTCTGAGTCTGCTTTTCCCTTATCTCATCTTTTTTCCTCGCTTTCCGATTAATTATTGTCAGTTTGGAGTATTTTATTTAAGCTGTTTTTGCAGTTGGCTCATGCGTGTGGCTGAACCATTTTGGATGATGAGTTAATTATTTTGGAAGTTCTTTCATAGTAGTGAGAGTAAATGTCTTTCCGAAGTATAGTTAATGACGTGAGGGATGCTATCGGGAGCTTTTCTAGGCGGCGGAGTTTTGAGGTGAGGTTGCCTGGTCATCATGATAAGCCCGTGGTTATCCAGAATAGCTGCTGGGCGAGCCTTCCGCCTGAGCTGTTGCGCGATATGATCAAGAGATTAGAAGCCACTGAGAGTACTTGGCCTGCTCGCAAGCATGTTGTAGCTTGTGCTTCAGTATGCAGGTCATGGAGGGAGATGTGCAAAGAAATTGTTAGATGTCCGGAGTTCTCTGGGAAAATCACCTTCCCAGTTTCTATGAAGCAGTTTAAATATCTAATTGTTTATGATATTCTCTTTTGCTAACTAGATATCTGTGTAATCGGACTAGGGATTTTATGTTAAGGGTTGAAGTTATAAAATTTTAGGATAGATTATTAATAAAAAAATACAAAGAAAATACTTAGATTATATGAGAATTTGAAATCCCTGTGTAATATCATGTTATAGGCTTGTTGATTGGCTATATCTTTATCTGTGTTATAGATATCTGCACGGATGTGTATTTTTTCTCTACCTTCTAGAGTTGAAATTTTCAATATTATATAATGTAGCGACTGACAAGGTTTTCATTTGTTAATCAATCACATCCAGGGCCAAGGAATGGAATCGTTCAATACTTCATTAAGAGAGACCATTCTAATTTAACTTATCATCTTTTCCTTTGCCTTAGTCCAGGTAATTAACTTTTTCTACCGTCCTTTAAAATTCCTTGGCTTAGTCATGACCTTCATTGCTCCTGTGTTTTATTTGTTTCCTAGTGGCCTCGAGTAACAGAGCTAATCAACTTTTACCACTAATGTTTCTGTGGTTGCAAGTATAAGTAAAATTTAGCTAATAATGTTTGTTATTTAAATTTTAAGTTCTCTTGTTTCTGAAGATGTTAATGACTGTTGAATACCTTGATTTGTGATTACTTTCCCTTTTGTTCCCTTGAGAATGCATTTTCTAATGAAGAAGAATGCGCAATAAAAAAATATGTTTTACTCCTAGCTGTAGGCATGCTTGTCGCTTGGCTATTAGTAATCTTGTAAATCTGCTTTGATTTGATTGAGTAGTTGATCTCCAGCCCAGTAAAATTTCAAAATTTTCGACAATTCTATATGGTAAATGACTACTTATGGTTCTGATAGTCATGATATTTTTATCGGATTTAGTCATTTTATTCAAAAGATAAGACACTGTTGAAAAAACTGATTATTGGCTCAGTTCATACACTGAGTATTTTTGTGTTGGAATTACCCTATATTACTGCACCTCTTGTTTCAAGTATAATTGGCACTGAGTAGACCTTTTGTTGGTATCCTTTGAGACCTGTGGCCTAGCTTTCTTCCACAAATAGAATGTGTGTTGTCATGTTCGAGTTTGAAGTTTATAGCAAGCTCTTGGGGTTATACTTCAACAAACCATGTATACATTGGCTTGGGCTCTAATGTCCTTTTCTGCTGGAATGATTTGAACTGAAACAGCTGTGCCTGTGTGATTTAGATAAGGTGTTGTTGGTCATCTCTGCACCATGGTTGCCTAGATCATAATTACTGATAGTTGTTTTGACTTCTCTTTCTTGGAGGTAAATTATTGCCAGTATTTTATCTTTTCCTATCTAGCTATCGACGTCACAGTCATGCTGTTAATGTGCTTACTGTCAGTGACCCTCATGTCTACGTGGATATATTTATTGTTTTCTGTTTGCTAGTGTATTTGGGCATCTAACCTTAAGCTTTTACCTTATTTTGCAGCTTTGCTTGTTGAAAATGGGAAGTTTCTTCTTTCTGCAAAACGGACTCGTAGAACAACTTGCACAGAGTATGTAATCTCTATGGATGCAGATAACATATCGAGATCTAGTAGCACATACATTGGAAAAGTGAGGTAGATTTCTTGTCCTTCATGTTTCTATTTGTTTATTTAATCAGGCTCTACATGCAAGGTTGCTAAACCGTGAAATATTTTGTATTATACAAGGTTGCTAAACCGTGAAAATTTTAGGAAGGAAATGGTGTAACTTTCTCCTGGAAAGGCTGTATAGTTTGTTGGATGTTGTTGATATTACTTGTTAGGTTAATGCATGCGCAAAGCATGCAACAGCAAACAGAATTTTGATCCATAATTGATGTATTTGTTACTTTTTTGTGAATAAAAGCACCCTTATGTGCATTTTTCTTTTCTTCAGTGCAAATTTTCTAGGTACCAAATTTATAATATATGACAAGCAACCTCCATACAATGCTCAACTTTTGCCACCTGGCCGAAGTCGCAGGTTCTATTTGAAAAAGGTCTCTCCAAAGGTTCCAACCGGTAGCTACAACATTGCTCAGGTCTCATACGAGTTAAATGTGCTAGGTACTAGGGGGACACGCAGGATGCACTGCACTATGCTCTCTATTCCTGCCTCTGCACTTAAGCCAGGCGACATTGTTCCCGGCCAGCCAGAGCTTCTGCTTCGATCCCTTGAAGACTCGTTTCGGAGCATCTCTTTCTCAAAGTCAATGCTCGATAATTCATCTGAATTTAGTAGTGCTAGATTCTCAGATATCATTGGAACCCATGATGAAGAGGTAAAGGAGCGACCATTGGTTCTCTGGAACAAGCCGCCACGATGGCATGAGCAATTACAATGTTGGTGCCTGAACTTCCAAGGACGGGTGACGGTTGCATCAGTCAAGAATTTTCAGTTGATTGCCGCAAATGAAGCAGCAGGCAGTGCCCCAGCACCATCAGAAGCAGCACAGGAGCAGGATAAGATTATTCTCCAATTCGGTAAAGTTGGGAAGGACATGTTTACCATGGATTACAGATATCCCCTCTCTGCATTTCAGGCTTTTGCCATCTGCCTCAGCAGCTTTGACACCAAATTGGCATGTGAATAGATGAACCCCCAACTTTTCATTTCTATTTTTTATTTTCTTCCTTAGTTTCAATCTTTAATGTTTAATTGTATTTTGGGGCTCGGAAATTAACAATTTTTGAGCATCATTCTAATGTATTTTGGTGTCCACTTCTTTGTTAACCTTTTTAACTAAACTATTAATCGACTATTTCATATCAAGTGATTTTACTGAGATCTTTTATGATAATTCTTTCAATTCAGTTTGTTTCATTCATAAAAGCAGATTAGATATTCCTTGTGACATAAATAACATACGCCCACATGCTGTCTCCGTTTGAGCTGTCGCTTCTTAAAGACAACTGCATCAACTAAAGTATGATTAGCATTGTTTTTGAAAAAAAAGACTCTTGATAAGTGTGTTACAAATATTAAGCGTTATATTTAAAGTTTGATTTAAGATTCAAGTGTTTAGTGATGTTGTCCAAAATATTTTTGAAAAGATAAAATATTGATCGTATAGTTAATGTTATAAAATAAATACATATATTTAAATTTAAAATATGTTAACTTGTTTTATAATAAGAATGTAAAAAATAATTTATTTCTACTCATTAATATTTTATTATATATTATTCAATATACGAAATTCTATAAATATGTAACAATTTTATATCGTTAAAGATTTTGTCATAACTCATAATATTTTTAATCAATTCAAATGAATGTTCACTCCTACTACCTGATACTTTTTGTTACAAATAATGGAGACCGAAAAACATATGACAAAGATAAGAAAACACAAGATCAAAAGAGATCTAGTCAGATAATTACCCAACCTAACTAAGATATACATCTACTATTAGGGGAAGCCTATAAGATATACACCAACTTAAGTTAGCGGGAGATTGATGATGATGACGATCGAAAATCTAATTTACTCATATAAGATATACAACAATTAGGAGTTCTCTAAATGTTCATAAACGACGCATCAACTCGGGATGCCTACACTCTGATGATCATCTTAATTGTAAACATATACCCTGTAACATCCCAAATCAGGGTCAGTGACTAAATTGTAAATTTTGAAAGTTTTGTGTTCAATTTAGAAATGAAATTTAAAAGTCTTGGGATTTAAGTAAAGAATTTTAATATTGGATTAAATAGCAAAGATGGATGAACTAAAGGGGCAAAATGGTCTTTTCATGGGAAAGATTTTTATCTTTCTTTTTGAGTATTATAAACGTGGGAAATATGAGAGAGTTCCAGACTTCTCTTCTTCATTCTCTTCTTTTCCACCGTGAAGCCATAAGCAAAGATTCTGAGCATAAGGCAATTCTGGAACATTTGGCAAGTAAGATCGATCAGGGGAAAGATTAGAGATCGAGATTGACTAATGAGACCAGGTGAGTGCATACTCAATAGTATATGGTGTGTGATGGGAATAAGACTTGCGATGAGTCTATTTCCTGAAGTGTTACATATGAATTCATGATTAAAGGCATGAGTTGAATATGAGTGTATGTATGTTTGATTATCTGAATTGATATGTTTTGTATGTGCCATGTGGTTTATGTGAAAACACGATTAAGTGTTAATGAGAGAATATAAAATAAGTTATGAAATTATAGGAATATAGAAGATAAGTCAAGAGATGTAGGGAAATGGAAAATAGATGTTTATAAAGAGTCATAGGAGAACAAATATAAGTAATATGATAATGAAATATAAGACTATGTGAATACATGGTTATGAGATAAAATATGCAATAATAGGAAAATATGATGAAAGTGAGTTCACGAGAAGTGATATGAACTAGGTAAACATAGGTAACAGTATATGCATAATGGAAACATGAGTTGGACAAGTACATAGTGGTATGATTTATTATGAGAATTAGTATAATAGAGCTTTTTGATTTAATGAGAGTAAGGGAACTAAATAAGATTGAATTATAGAATGAAATGGAAATAGTATATCAATTAGGAAACTTGAATATAAAGGGACGATACGAATATGCAAGATAAGTTATATGCTCAATATCTATGGAGCGATATGAAAAGATTATAATGAATATATGAAATTGAATTAAGTAAAGAGATTAAATTAGTACCTAAATAAAAATACTATTAAATGATATATGTTTAGAAATACGATATAATTTATATAATCTAAAGGAATACAAAGAAATGGAGCATAAGGTAGATGATATGATATCAGTTATTATATACCTATATGATATATGTCATCAGGTAATATGAAAGGACTCTGAAAATTGGTATAAGCTATGACAAAGTGTTCTAGGTGTTTCTATGTGTTATATGAAGCATATATGATCATATGTGAACAAGATATGATATGTATGTTTATATGAATATCTGAGAAATGATCTAAGCTATATGATATGATATATGTGATTATATGCACTTTGGGATATATGTTATATGATATGGATCTATATAACTACGTGAGAAAGTATATAAGCTATGTGACATGTAAATGTGACTCATATGAAAATGTTCTATGAGTAATTGAACTATGTGTTATGTGAAATGATAAGTATAAAAGAAAATACCCATGTTATGTGTCTTGAGAGCTAAGAGTATAGTTGGCATGCCAAGAGTCGAGGGTCTACGCGGTCCTTCGGGATATATATGTATTCTTTGGAACATGTGTGAAGTCTGGTGAGACACATACTTGATCTTTGGCATATGTATATGATTCTTAAGGAATGATATGTGGTCCTTCGGGACATATATGTATTCTTTGGAACATGTGTGAAGTCTGGTGAGACACATACTTGATCCCTAGTATATGTATATGATTCTTAAGGAATGATATGTGGTCCTTATGGACATTATTATATGCCACTACGGTGCAATTCTACACGGCACTCCGGTGCAATTCTACGTGGCACTTCGGTGCAATTATACGAGCTGTGGTGACAGCATAGTGCACAACCTCTATAGACTCACATATTTATAGTTCTCACATGTGTACATGGGCTTTGAAAAGAGAACATAATTTGATATAATGATATGTGTATTTCTCGTGACATGGTAGAAGTGCATATATGTCTTGGTGATATGAGAACAATGTATGTGATATATGTATATGATGTGTGATATGATGTGTGCATGATATGATATATGTGTGATAGGGGTTATGGTATCTGTTACATAATATACATGAATATATGTTGATGTATATGTAAATGAGTTGTATAATTTGATAGCATAAAACAGTCATGCATGATTAGTGGGTATGAATTCCATTAGATGTGTTTTCTTTATGCCTCACTAAGTCATCGACTTAGCATGTGAGTGTTTCACACGCAGGTTACAGAAAGTGAATATGGAAGCTGTGAGGAGCAATACAGGTCAGCATCTCCCTTACAAGATTTCAGATCAGAAAATAGATGAGTTAAATGATTTTTGTTATTTTGAATATAGTTGGCATGTACTAATTGATTGAGTTAAATATGCTCTGATCAATTTTGGTTATTGTGGTCAAATTATGTAACTAAATTGCTTTTACTTTAAGGAAAGTTTTAAATTTTCTTTGAATTTTGTCAAGAGTCAAAGTTTGAAAAGTCAATGTGACACCTCGGACTCGTATCCGGGTCGGGTACGGGTTGGGGGTGTTACATACCCATCACTAAATCTAATATAGATTACTAAAATCCATTAATTAAAGATGAATCAACCACCACTAATTTTCAAACTCTTCTTGCACTAGTACTTTAGTTTGGATTAAGTAGTTTAGTTATAGATGAATCAACCAGCCTCTATTACTTCTTTAGTTCGATTACTAGTAATTAGATTAGAGTAGTAAAACTGCTACGCTTTTCTTTTCTTCATAAGCTCTAACTTCCTTTTCTCCTCTTTTGTGCATGTGTTTAATCTTATAAATTCCTTCCTTAGCCAAGGAATTAGTAACTGCCAAGTGAATTTGGCCTTCAAAGTTGGCCATGGAAACTGGCGTAGGGCACCAGCTGAAGCTCTACTTTGACAAATAAACAATGATTGCCTGTCACTCCTTTGAACTCTTTGTGTTATTGTTGTCGCTTGTTTCGCTGAATTTGTGTTTGTGTCTTTGACGTATATCGTTCGTGTATTATCCTCCATCTATAAATACCGAATTATTTATGTTGTTTTAGATCATCCTTTAACAAGCTTTTCAAAAAATAAATAAAAATTCCTTTCACTTTTTCGAAGATTTTTCCTTACCACTTGGTTATTTCGAGGGAGAGCAATACCATCCTTTATCTACTCTAGACTTTGATGTATGCCTATACGGGTTTTAAAGAGATTGTGTTAATCTTGAAGGACATCATCTAGTGCAACGATTACACTAATCGAGATGAAATTTATTTCTGACATTAGTTCACCCCAACATAATTTACAAAAGAAATTTCTTTATAATTTTTATTTAATTGTCCTGTCGATGCTAAAGTTTTCATTTTGTAGTAATACTGCCAACACCTATCTTTCACTTATGGGAAGATTGGTCTTTCCATTAGGGCTTCCTTAATCGGACGTTATGGTAGAGTCATGGATGGTTTAGTTGTAAGTGTTAGGCATTTAGAAGCAAAAAAAATAATTGAAGCAATATCAATATAGAAAAGATCACATACAAGAGATGAGATTTAACGCGGTTCAATCTTACATACCTCCATGGATGATAAAAATAATAATTCATTTTAAATGTAGAGATTTACATAATAAAACATGTATCTTTCAATCTGACATCTATATCAAAATCTGGAATATATCAAATAAGTATTTACTTATTAAATAAACTTAAATACCAAATAACTTTTTACCACTAGAATTGTTCTAAACTCTAAACTTTTAATTCAATTATCAATTATAATATGGGTGAAATATAACAATAAGTTACCTCATCATCAGCCAAATCTTGTTTGTGAGCCAGTTTCAAGTTGAAACTGTGTTCTAATTTCTACCATTGATATTGGTAATTTATAATTGGAATTTTCCATTTTTATTGTCAATTAAATATCGTTGTGCAGTTGAGTTGTCAAATCATAAGAATTTACAAGCCAAACTGATGAATTGAATTTAAAGGAGATCGGAGCATTGATTGTTGCAGGGTGAAATTTCAGTGCTACATATGGGGCAAATCTTCTTAACTCGAAGCCATTTTGATATACAATCTGAATGGTATGGCTGTTCACAATTTCCAAGAGTCACGACACCTTCGTCTTCTTCGTATTCAACTTGACAAATTACACACATATCGATTCCGGTTTTGCACTCAACAGATCGAAACTTACATTGAATCAAGCACGACGAAATTTCCTTCGGAGATAACCCTCTCTTCTCCACTCCTATAATCTCTCCCAAAGCAATCAACTCTTCGTACGATAAATCATCCACATCTATCTCATCTTCTTCGAAATCATTGTCATCCTCCATATCTTCGGTGTCGTTGCTATCTTGTCCTTCAAGAAACTCTAAACCACCTCCGACTTCGAGGCCTTCAAAATATTCATAATCGTTAACGTCGCCTTCTTCATAAGACGCCTCACTATCATCACTTTCGATCATTGAAAAAAACTCTTTCTTGCTCTTGCAATGACATCGCCATGGTGGAATCGGAGTTGACTTGTTCGAGTTGGGTGAAGGACACTCTCTTTGATGATTGTTTTGTATCTTCGTTTTCCATCGAAAGACGAATACAAATCTTAATTTCAAACGAAGTTGAAATGGAGATCCCATCCACATGAATATATATAATTTGAGCTAATTCTTAGGTTTTCTTTAGGTAAAGGCAACCTCCATACGAAGCGATGGAAGTCCAAATATGTAATGTTCTTTGATTCTTCATGTACCTTGAATGTAGCCTAAAATTTAGCTTTCTTTGAAGGGGGCAGCTTTATTTTATGCAATGTAATAGCATAGCATATCTAATAAGCCACCCAAATTTATTATTATCATTATTATTTATTATTTTTTTCATGATTTTTGGTTCATTATGGGATCTTAACCATCCGGGACGGACACATAATTTTATGTTGGAGACGAACCTTTAACATTTTAGGAAGGTGAGATTTATAAAATTCTAGGGGACTAAATCAAATTTTTAATAGAAAATACATAAAAAAATATAAAATATATGATACTTTTAAACTTTCAGTGGGCAACTGTCTCATCTGTCCCTTGATTATCCATGTATACTATATCACCAAAATTTTATGTAATGGATTAAAAATGATTTTATTAGTTATATATAAGTTATTGATTTTAAGATTATAATTTTTTTTTGTGAAATAAAGACATAAACATTCTAGCTATTAACTCCTAAACATTCTTTATAAGTATCGACTTTATAGTCACCGGGAGTATTGAGAAATTTTGATCCAAAAATCATCGATGTGGACTATATTCGTCATAAAATCGACTACTCTATTAAAATTTTAAAATTTTATGCAATTAACTCTGAATAATTTAAGATTATAAAATTTTAAAATTAAATTATTAATTAAAATATATAAAAAATAAACTATAAAATATTAAAAAAATTAAAGACAGGACCGCAACTCAAACACCTCTGCCCATCCTTTGATCTATCTCCTAGTCAGCGTAAGAAATACAAAGAAAAACTAAATTTGAGCAAAATTTAATCTAAAGATGTTTCCAACAAAGCCATCGCAAAGCAGCTACGATGGCATAGTACACCAAGTGATATCAATGATGCTCCAAAACCGACCCTTTGATGCTCATCTCGCTTCTTCAACAATCTCAAATCCATGGACAACTGATTCAGTTTCAGACATTTTAAGATCCATTCCCAACTTCTTTTTTAAATTGCCTCGTTCAATTGGCCGCCAAAAGGGTTTTCGCCACCGTGCTCCTTCAAAAAGAAACCTTAAACAAGAGAAATCCAAGATTTCCCACAATGTTATTGTCGTCGGCCCTGCTGCTTATAGAAATCCCCAAAAGGTTGCTTTAGGATAAGATAAAGCAATTGAATTCTATTTCTGGGTAGAAAAGTTTTTGGAGTTTGCCCATAATGAGAAAACTTGTAAAGAAATGGCCTTTGTTTTAGCTAAAGGTAAAAACTTGAACGGTCTTTGGCGTTTTCTGAAGGAAATGTCTAGAAGTGGAAATGGGAGGCTTGTTACTACTTCTTCCGTCACCTGTTTGATTAAATTCCTAGGAGATGAAGGGTTAGTTAATGAAGCATTAGCTTGCTTTTATAGAATGAAGCTGTTTCATTGCAAACCTGATGTTGCATATAATATGATTATTCATGCTCTTTGTAGAGTGGGGAATTTTAATAAAGCAAGGTTTTTGTTGGAACAAATGGAGTTACCAGGTTTTAGATGTCTACCAGATGTCTATAGTTACTTACACAATTTTGAAAAGTTATTGTAAATTCAGTATACAAACTGGATGTCGGAAAGGAGGTTTTATGAGGCGAATCACTTGTTTCGTGAAATGTTGTTTAAGGGTTTCGTTCCAGATGTTGTGACTTACAATTGTTTAATTGATGGTTGTTTTAAGACGAATTGAATTGAAAGGGCGTTGAAACTTTTTGAAGATGTGAATAAAAGAAACTGTGTTCCAAACAGGATCACCTAGAATTCTTTTATTAGGTACTACTGTGTTGTTAATCAGATTGATAAAGGTATTGAGATGATGCAGAGGATGCGACGGATGAATCATGGGATAGCAACAAATAGTTTGTATACTCCGATTATACATGCTCTGTGTGAAGGGTGTTGGAGGCCAAGGATTTTCTTTTCGAGTTGGTTGCAGGGGGATCTATCCCAAGAGAGTATACATATAAGTTAGTTTGTGATGCACTCAATTCAGCAGGAGCAACCAATTTGATTGATGATGAGCTGCATAAAAGAATAAGAGATGGTATCGAAAGTCGATGTAGACAGGTGATGAAGTGAAACATGTAAAGAGTTGCATACGGACAACAAGGACTGTGGAGGAAGTTTAGTTTTCAAGAAAAAGCTGATTATGCTCAACCGTGTAAAGTACAGCAGACAAGGAGAAGTCAGAAGAGTATAGTCGACTGACGGGGCACGCTTGTGGTAAGTATTACTTAGTAAATTGAACTTTACTTCTGAATGCTTTTATTCCAAATTATAATCACTTGCTGACTTATAGTTCTAAACTCTCCTGCGTTTCGATTTTTCATACCAATTTCTATTGAATTCTCCTACTTCCAACTTATCCATCTAGTTTATGGTCTTGTATACAACAAAAATATTTGTTTACATGAATTTCAACGATTCAGTTTTTCTAGTAACTTTATAGATAAAGCATTTCTTTCTATGAAAAGAAACTGATACGGAAGTTCTCCTTGAGAGATTAACACATTTGGCATATTTGTTGGGCCCTTTTTTTCCTTGAGGGTTGTGACTTGTGACATTATATTTCATAGTCATTCTCTGCTTCATCTGCATATCTAATAAAAACTGAAGGGACTAATCCAGAAGTGACCCTGGAGGCCACTGCGGTGGCGGAATGGCTGAAGTGGTGCTAATCCAGAAGTGACCATTACTGCAGGTGTTAATGGTGGCATGATTACTGGTTGAGCTTGTAGGGCAGAGGTGACAGCCGCGAAGGCGGCTGTAGTGGTGCCAGAGGAGGTGATTGTTTCGGACGCCATGGTGTTTACCTTCGGTGTCTCAGAAAAATGGAGGAAAAAGAATAAAAGTTATGCTGATAGAAAGGTGAAAATGTTTCCTTTTCTTCCTTTTCACCCCTAGCATTTTGATTATGAATTTTATGTAAGTTGAAATCTTTTTTTTGTAGAATAGGTGAAACTAGCAAAGATTCTGATAACTATGGGGCAGTAAAATTAAGAATTGATGTAGAATTGAATTGGGTCACTAGTGATTATCTATCTGTATGTAAACTCTACTTTCTTGATGTTCACTTTCACATCCTACTTCCTCCAGAAAATCAATCAAATTTTCAGACACAGCTTGATCCATATCTTTATTTATCTCTGGGTTTACCTTTGGTGACATTATTTATGGAATGTTTTCTTTATGTGTTAGTTCTTGGTGTGATTGCAGAAATTAATTCTTGTTTATGTTTTTACTTTGTAATTGTAATATTATTGTAAGTGAATACAACAAAGTTTAAAGTTAGATTTCATAATTGTTAAAAGTTATATGTAAAAACTCACAAAAAAGAACATATGTTCTTAGAGAGATTAATATGCTTGAATTCAAAATCGAGGGATTTAAAAAGTGTTTAAACCAGAATGTATAAGTCAACTAATAACAACTTTATAGTTTTAGATCAAAATGTTAACTTTTTTAGACATACAAAAACTAAAGTAATTTTTCATAATAGAAGAAATAAAATCAACTTCTAGATATGATACCGAAATATATAATAGACTTTAACCATTAAATATGATATATAGAGCATTTGTTAGATATGATATGAAATATGAATTCCTAAAGGTTTACTCTTTTATTTATTACCTCAAATCCATGGTTGACACCTTTAGTAAAATGAATAAAAATTTCGTTTAAAGTTTTAGCCATGGATTTGAGGTTATAAGTTAAAGAGTACGCCTTTATAATCCTTCTTAAATGGCACAACATTAGCTAAATCTGCTGTCATAATTCTTTGCAATCTTCAGCTACTTTGGGTGGTTCTAATTGGATTAGTCTTTGATCTGATCATAATCCAGTCTCTTGCTGCAAGTCTTGGAGTCAGCACTGGTGACTATGCATCTTTCATACTAACAACAATCAAATTTCCATTTCGGACATTTTTTATTGAGCAATTTCTTTCAGGCAAACACTTCTCAGAATTGTGCAAGGCCGAGTACCACCACTGGTGAAATATTGCTTATGGTTACTCGCAGAGGTTGCTGTCATAGCTGCTGATATACCTGAAGGTTTCTTTTTATTTAAGTCATCATTTGCAACATACAAAAATCAACCACAATTGTTTTATTCATTAAAGATAACCGAAAACAAGAAATGATTCACAGGGTTTATGTGGCTCTGGTGTTGTTAAAGGCATGATAGTTCTTAAGTTTGCCGGCGAAGGAGCCGCCGCCGACACCGTTGCTCTCTTGGGTGCCCTTGTTATGTCGTAAGAATAACGTATCTCTTTATGTTCAACAACTTCTTCATTTAATAAAGGCTTAAATACAGTTGTCGTTACTTCTAACTCTAACAAATGCTGTGAAACACGGGCACAATTTCTTCCTTCACTCAGCTCTGGTGCTCTCAAGAAAAATACCCAACTCTGTTGGAGGCATTAATGTGAGCAAAAATAACCAATTTATTTATCATATGGCATATATTAAAATTCAGTATGATGTATGTGTAATGCAATAGGTCTAGTATGTCCACATATGCTAAGCCAAGGTGGTTGTCATTCCTCTGTTAGGATGCTTGTATATTTTTCCTGATAGAGAGCGGCTTCGCCTTGTATGTAGCTTTTTTTTATCAACATCATGGTAGGTTCTGCGTCCGGGACCGTCTGTACGGCTAATAACCTTTCCGGGAATAATCGAAATCGTCGCAATAATCTTTATCTCAACTCTGCTTCTTTTCTTCTCCAGATCCAAAAATAACAATTAACACACCCAAATTTTTCCTTGGTACAAAAAAATGAAATTAAGAATCTTTGTTTTTGTTTCTTTTCATTATAGAATGTGTTGAGAAAATTTACCAAAACTCTATATGGCGTTGCACTTTTAGCATCAGGGCAAAGGTCAACCATTACAGGCATTTATGTAGGACAATCTACACTTTTAGCATCAGGGCAAAGGTCAACCATTACAGGCATTTATGTAGGACAATCTATCATACAGGTTTGGCTGATTAAGTCCTTTAAAATACGGTATTAATTAGTCATGAATCTAATATTGACTATTAATTTTATTACATGCTGTTCCTTTCAGGGTTTCTTGAATCTTACGATAAAAAATGGTTGAGGAATTTAATGACTAGGTGTATTGCCATTACACCTAGTTTTATTGTGTCCATCATTGGTGGATTTTTAGGTGCCGGACATTTGATCATCATTGTATGTAGGATTGTAAATGACACGAAACATATCGCAAGTTGCTCCAATTTAACTCGACCAATACTAGATTCAAATGGACTTAATCCGAATTTAAATTTGATTCAAGTTTTTAACAAATCAAAACAAACTACTTCAAACCTAATTCTCTTGAATTGTTTTTACGCCAATATCCTTGGTATTAAGCTAAGTGACAGCTATGTGACGAAATCTCTCCAGTCATGTGATCGATTGAGTTGTTACAAAACAGAGTTATTAAAGGGGTCAAAGGCGGAATATTGAATGGATTGTTGTGGCCATGACTCAAAATATATAATTCTTTATTAATCTCTCATAAATTTAGATATTTTAAAGAGCCTTCCAACAAATAACGATAATTCTTTTCTTTAACCACTAATATATAATCTATTAGTCGATTATTTCGAATCGGATATAGAGATCTTTTATGGGGATGACCCTCTCAACTCAGTTTATACTATTCGTAAATACAAGAATTCAAACACCTAACCTTGTTTAAGGAATCCAATGTTTCATTCTATTAAACCAACTTATTGTTAGTAAATAATTTTGATTTCTACCGCTGCATAGAGTGATTCTCCAGGACCGACACTCACAATATGACAACCACACCAGACGATGGTTGGGGCCAAGTTAAATCCAATGGTCAACCGAATACCAATCCGTCACCCTTCATATATCTAGCATAGCACACAATCATATAAGGTGTAAAAAAGGAAGTGCACAAGAGTGCAAATGTTTGATCCTTACATATAGCTTGGGTGATGAAGGGAAAGTATTGAAGTATCGGCGGGACTAAAGGTATGACTGTGGAACTGATGGGTTCAGGCGTCTATTTGATTTTTCTTTCTTTAAAGTTCATTTGTTGTTGAATCACACACTGTTTTATTTGACTTATTTCATTAATCTATTGTGTAGAATGATGAAAAGAATCTAAAAACTCTATTGAAATGGGGGCAATCTTAGCATCCAATACCAAACCTGACTACCTGAGGACTGCAATCCTTAGGGGTTGAATTGATTGAATCAAAACTCATGATCAACCAATTAAAAATTGATAAAAACCGAATGAATCAATAGTCTAAAGCCTCACTTATTTGGGTCCAGGACAATGCTACTGAGCTAAGAAGATTCGATAATTTGGGGCTCCACCAACTTGTCATGAATTGGTAAGATATGTGAGAAACCTGTTACAAACAGTAGGATCAGATAATCCTTACCTGTTTCATGCCCTTCATTAGAATGTAAAAATAACTTCAATAGCTCAAATGGAGAACAATCTTATTAGTGTCTCACCATTATGATACTGACAAATTGATAACAAAGGAATTCCCTTAAAATGTTGAAAATTAAACGCAAAACCCACCTTAAAAGTGGGAATATGATAGGATAGAGCAACCGTCCCGGTCACCTTCATGATTTTTTTTCCCACTAAATCCAATAAGCTTTGTTGTTTTGATATGATGCAGCATGCAAACAGGAGTGCCTCCTTCGGCATTAGATTAGAGATCAGATAAAAAGAGATTCAACATAAATATTTCCCACGTTAAATGACAGAGATTCAAAAAGATGGTCCATCAATGACTATCAGGCATAATACAAAGTTTGAAAAGCATGTTTGTTGCAATATGTGCCATTTTACAGTCCAAAAGTGTTGAATCTCTCATCTTCAAAAACATCTGGCGTCCTACGCCGGGCTTTCTGGCTAAGTTTCAAAAGAGAATTCTTGTGGCATGTTATGCAAAGCTCGCATTGTGTTGCTGGCCACATCCAGCAGCTGCAAGTACTCATCCGCACAATCAACCAGACACTGCACACCAATGAACTGATTCATACAAATTCAGTCTCCTCTATAAACCCCCGGTAGGGGGAAAAATTCCCACTCTTGGCTGATGTAAAGAAACAATGGAGCAGGTCGGAAGAAAATAATTGAAAGGCCCAACTTCGGATGTACCAGTAAATATGCTGTTGGTCATGTTTAATAGGCCAATTTCCAATAACTTCAAAATAAAGAAAGATATAGGTCGATAGGATTTCCTTCAAGACAGCACAGTTACACCAATGCAGACAAATTTTAACAGTCTAGGCCCCTGTTATATCTCAGCTTTCGTTACCAGCTTATGTTAATCAACCAAAGAATAGGTATGATTTTTATGGGGGAAAAAAAGAATCAATTTAGTCAATATCATTTCTATTCTAAAAGTACCAAAACTAAGAAATTAGCAGTAGATAACCAACAGAACTAAGTTTATGTGGCCAAAGTAACCTTATCTGCTTCAGCCAAACTCTTGCAAATTCTAGCTTTCTGTTCATCTGGTACATCATCTGCCTCAACAACCACATTAAATAACTGGAAGAAGCATTATGTTAGTATCAAATACATCTAGAAATTGAAAATGACAACTAATCATGGATGAAAAATAAAGAAATTAGACCTGAGATATCATCTGAGAAACTGGATAACCTTCTGCAATTACATTAAGGACTTCCTTGTTTGCCGAATCAAAGTTACCGCTTTTGCATGCAGCATAAAGTGCCTCCACAACTTCTCGAGGTATAACCTGATACAGTGCAATTTTAGTGTCAAGGCATACCAAAGTCAATTAAATAGTACAATTAAAAAAAAGGTATGTAGTTTGAGATTCTCATTTTGATTTTCTTCATAAAAGAACATTTCACAAATTCAAGAGAAAATGCCATATTAAATGACAGCTTTCTTAGTTTTCTCATCCATAAAGGCAGCAAACAGAAAATCAAAAGGTATATAAATTAAATTTTGAATTCAGAGTTCAGACTGAAGTCTGAACATCTTCTAGTAACTATAAAAAAAGCCTATTCGAGAGTAAATTTCCCTTGCTCATCTTTTGCAGCAGCTTATACACCCAATTCAAGCATCAAGACTCCTTTGTTCTACATAGCAGTTATCCAAAAACTATCTTGGGTAAAAGAAGATGGGTTGAAAATAAATCAAAGAGAATCCTAATATCAATCAAAGCAAATTTTTAGAGCAAACTAACTAGCATTGGGAAACTTTAGTGTCAAATGAATCATACAAATACAACTTACCCCAGACACACTAATTAGGTCGTTGGAAGAAATCTATGATCCAAATAATCGTGCAGCTCCCTGAAGTAATCCATAACACAAAATTAAGCATATTGAAAAGCATGAAAAAAGCCAGTTGGCCAGCAAGACAGATAATAGACACAGGGAGCATGTCCTAGTAGGAATGGAGCACAGTAAAACCATTATTTTAATAGTGCTGGAATGCAGTTACAAATCATTATTTCGACCAACAATTACAATTTCATAACAGGGATTATAGTTAAAGCCCTTCATGTGGAAAGTGCTATTTACAAAGCGAAACAAACTAGGCAGTAAGCAGAAAACACAATTGGGTCAAGTTGCAACAAGTATGCAATCAAATTGTCAAAAACAAAAACTATAGTAGAAGAGCATGGATAATCCACAGCATCATAATTTCATAAATTTTGGGAATGCATTGCATTCCATTACTTACCTGCAAGTATGTAATAGCCCGACGAAGATCACCTTGTGAAATGGAACTTAATGTTGAAAGTGCTTACAGTGAAACATCAAATGTTTACGAAAGAAGCCATTTAATCAAAAATCACTCGTACAACAGGATTAAGACACCAGGTTCACACCTCTGAATCTAAATTGAGGCCATCTTGATCACAAATGTGCAATATACGACTGCTCAAGATTTCTTCTGAAAGTGGCTTGAATCTGAACTTCGCACATCTTGAAGCAAGTGGCTCTATGATCCTATGAAATTCGATAACATAATGCCTAATAGTTACCCTCCGATTCTCAAATTTCCATAGTGATTTACAAGTCAATCGCAACATTATAGTGCTAAAAGTTTACCACACTGAACTTGTGGTCAAAAGGGTAAAAGAAAATTGTGGAAAAAGAAATAGAAGAAATATACCTGCTTATGTAGTTGCATATAAAAAAGAATCGTGTAACTTTTGAGTAAGTTTCCATGGTACGTCTCAAAGCATTCTGCAGTCAAGTTTATGTGTCTACATGAATTGTAAAGTGCGACAATGGCTACCCAAAAAGAAAAAGAAACATGCCTGAGCATCTTCAGTCATTGAATCTGCTTCATCAAGAATAATTATTTTGAACGGTGGGCAAGGATAACCCCTAGGGAAATACAAAGGAAGAATGAGAAAATTGGTACACTTAAACAAGACCAACGAACAACTGTAAACCGAATTTGAAATCTTATTTATCGGAAAGTACGAGAGCATACCCCGCACACTGGCCAGACCCTATAGCAACAGCAGCAAAATCTTTGATCTTTGTGCGAACAACATTAATCCCACGGTCGTCACTTGCATTTAGCTCCAACACCCTAGATTTGTAGAGTTCAGGTCTGCAAAATTTGGGTTTCAGTTGAATTCAGATAAACTGAAGTAGAAAACCCCATATACGTGTAAAGTTGTAAAATGAAAGGAACATTATAAACTCTACAATCAGAACTCTGAACTCTAGTGAAGCATTACAGTGATTGCAGAAGCCTAAAAGTTCACCAAAGAGTTAACCTTCAATTTGAGACACTTCAAATCTAATTGCAAACGTGGCCATCTCAAAATTTCCACACACAAAAAGTTAATAAATGACCAATCGAAAATGAAGGATTTAGGTCAAAGTTTCACTTCCATAAAACAACAATATGTCAAAAATTCAAAAATAAAGAGTACCCAAATAGCTGGTGGGCGATGGCGAGAGCGGTAGTGGTTTTTCCAGTTCCAGGAGGACCGTAAAAGAGCATATGCGGGCACTACATAAAAAATAGTGTTGAATTAGGGTTTCTGCATAATTTAAAACAAAAAGAGAGAAAATTAAAAAAAAAAAAAGAAGATAAAATTACATTGGCGGTCTCGAGGGTGTTGGTGAGAACTCGAACAACCTCGTCTTGATGCGCCACGTCTTTCACTTGCTTTGGCCGACTGAGACGAAACAAAAATGTCTACCAAATTATACTACAATAAAAAAAACAAAGAGAAAAGAAAGAGTGATTAAGATATAGTACTATTTTTCAACCCAAGGTTGGAAGCTCTGCAACACTGGCGCCATTTCCCTCTTGCTTGCTCCTCCTCACCTTAATTGTGACTTAATTTTTTCTTCTGTTTTTGTTTTATTTTTCAGATTCTTTTATTTTCCTGGTTTTCTTTTCCCGCTTCTTTGGTTTTTGTTTGCGTGTAGGGCTAGCTGTCGTTTGGAAATCACACAAATATAACATGTTTTCGATTAGGGTAAAGTTAAATATACTTATTAAACTATTTTGAACTAATATTTTTAAGTACTAAATAAAAATTATAAAATAATAAGAGTATTGATTTAATTTGTTTTAGTAGGTCATGAAGGCAAAGCCTTTACAATTTATGAGGTACCTTTATTGGAGTCCATTAGTATTCTGTTAGAAAATATCCTGGAGAGAGGCTGGAGCAGAGTTCAACAAGGAACTTGGTGTTTGTTGTAGAGAAAACTTGGCGAGTACATCAACGGCTGAACTAACCACACGGCGGATGAGCATATAGTCCACAACCTATGCATGATCTTGGAGAGAAGCGATAGCTCTAATAAGAGTTAAGGGACATGAACGTGTGCTTGTAGAAAAAATCATGTGATAGACGTCGCAGTTATTCATTTGACATTGAACTTTTTTTAAATCCTGAGATCATGCAAATTTTAAACTTTCAAACAATCCCCAAAGCTCCGACAGTCATGTTCCCGAGTGGCTTCGAAAAATCCTCTCAGTCAATTTTCTAAGAAATCTCGTACGATGCTGTCTGCTGAGTTAAGAGAGGATGAGGTGAAGACTATCTTGTTCGAGTTAAGAGCAACCCAACTAGATAGTGGAGCGTGCCAATAAGTTTCAATGGTATCGGAAAATGGTGCATTGACATGGGTAATGTGAGGGTGTTCGAACATACTCGCCCAATGAATACTCAAGTGTAAGAGATTACTTCTAGTCATGTTAATGAGGAAAACAATTTGATCCAAGGAACATTCGTACCTTGGAAGAGGCAAGGGGTACACATGTTAGCGAGCAACCATTCTGTGAGTGAGAGTCCAAAGAAGTCCCTAATCTAACTTCTTTGAATAATCAACTCTCATAAGAGCAAAGTGTATGGATAATCACGAAAAATATAGAGATAGATTCCTCCATTGATCTACGTGCAAGACATGATGCATCATCCGTCAGGTGTCGAAGGTAGCAGGCGGAGTTGGAGAGGATCTCTCAAGGACAGTCATATGAAGCATCTTATACAATCTGATTCTGTAGGAGGACATGATAAGCACTTTTTGTGGTAAAAGAGCTATTTGTCAGGGCTGACTGACCACATCTACCTTCACCAATTCAAAAGAATGAGGAAGGATTGAGTGGAGACTCATAAGGACGACGGGCGGGTGCAGTGTTGCAAGAAATCTTAGTTTCAATCTCCGGACGAAACCACCACATCGCTAACCAGAAGGTCTGCATCAATGAGGGCATTATTAGATTTCAAGACAACAAGGGGCCATAGGCGAAGGATCTAACAATCGATCTAAAAATGAATACTTGTTCCATTGCCAATAGACTAAAAGACGCTTGATCTGAATATTCTCCAAATTTTGGATAAAAATAACCAGAGAGTATAACAGTTTGTTTGCTTTATAGAGATACAAAATTGTTCGACCAACTTGTATTTTTATCGTAAGAGAGTAATCCATAATGCCTCCTGATTGTTGATTAAAGGGAAGCAGATTTTCTAGAGGAGAGCGATGTTATGAGAATGCATCGACCTTAAGTCTAGGCCTCCACAAGAACGAGGTTGTAAAATAGTTTTCTAACCGATACCGACACACTGAAAGGACCCATAAGATTTGTTGTATTAATCTCTCAATATGGTCGTAAATCCTGACATGAAGTAGACTTGATTGCATAAAATACGTTGGAACGACAACAAGAACAAATTTTGCTAGAATTAGCCTCCTGCAAAGGAAAGAGTTGAATATAATTGTAAGAATCGTAAGTAACCCTCCTATGAATGACGGGACCCAATGTAATTTTCTATGTAATTATCTTTTTATACTTCGATCTTACTTTGAACTATATTTTTCATCTTATAAAAATTAAATTCGTAAACTAAAGATTTTTTAATATATAAATCGATAAATGATGAAAATTTATTAATTTAATCAAAATGCATAGCTATTTTTCGCTGTTGTAACCTAGTCGTTAGAGCAACAAAATTTGTTATTTTTAAATAATTTTGGATCATTGTTGCCAACCAAAGTCTACCTGTTATTTATATATTAAAATTTCTAGCATTTTAAAAATAATAAAAAAAAGTGGCAGATATTGGAGGGGTTGGGCCATCACTCAGCTAAGAAAGAGAGGGAAGAATCGGAGAAAAAAGACCTGTTCTTTGTCTTCCTCTGAAAACTTTTATTTTCCCCTGCTAATTCTTGCCATTTTTTGTTTTTTTATTTGAATTCTAACCCTCTTCTCATTTCTCTACATCCCAGATCAAAATTTCAGCTCTGAAAATAATAAAGCTTCTCTAATCACACGATTTCGATAAGTTTTCCGTTTTAGATTACGTTTTCTTCATAGATCTTAATTCATATCTGCGAAATACCCACATATTTCTTTCTCGTAAAACTCCGATCCGTTTTGTTTTTTGTAAAGAGAGTGAAGTTATGGACGAATTTGGCGTTTTAACAGAGCATTACGGTTTAAAGCCGCAAGGAAAATCGGTTCCGATGTCGCAAGCCAAACGATCCACCCCCGCCGCCATCACAACCGCGACCGCGGGCCGAAGTTTTGGGTTCGGGAACGGAAACCCCACGTCGTTTTCTTCAAAAACTTCGCGGTATTCGGGTCCCGGTGACGGCTCTATGCTTGACGATCACGACTTTCTCCCCAATCAAAACTCCCGTAATTATTTTGGTATTGGCGACGATTTTGGTGGTTTTCAAAACCCCACAACGAAGCAATCTAATACGAGTAATAAAAGTAGTAGTAATGGATCTTCATTCGATTTGTCTTCAATGTTATTGAATTCTGGTCCAAAACCTTCGCCTACGAATTCCTACGTCGTTGATGATTTATTTGGAGGAATGCCCGTCTCTCAAAATGCAAATAACGGTACTGATTTTGGGTCTTTTGTCTCTTCAACGAAGCAAAAGGGTTCGACCGGTGACTTCCTGGGTGATTTTAGTGGTGTGGCGGCGAAATTGAAGTGTTCTAACGGTTCTTATGATTCGGGAAAACATGAGGCTGGTGTTGATGATTTGATACCTGGGTTTGGTGGAAGCAGTCCTCCTGTTAATAGGTACTTACAATTACTTTAAATTGATATAATTTTTTCATTTAAACCTTAGCATTATACCACAAAAGCGCCTCAGACCCTTTCAGGCCAGGAATTTTTTTATCCCAATTCTAGTGCACCTAGACATTTTTTTTGTAAGGCAATAGGCATAAAAAAACCAGCCTGAATAAATTTCTCTTTAATTTCTTTTTTTTTCTCTGTTTTTTTATATACCTTTACTAGTAAGAAAGTGATAACATTGAACTCTATACTTTTTAATATTTGAGCATTCCACAACAAACATTGATCATAAGGAAATCATGTATATTAACCAATAACAAATTTCATTTTTTGCAGATAAATTATATATATATACAAACTCACACATATACATATTGTGACTTTACTTCACTCTAGCTACCACATTTTTTGCACCTTGCGCCTGAGGCAATATAAGGGTTTAAGCGTCTAGTGCACCTCGTGTTCTTGACAACATTGCATATTTGCAGTCAGATGTTATGAAGTAGTCACTTGAATATGATTATGTTTTTAGTATGCAAGTATTGGAATTGATGTTTTTGTTGTTGTTATTAATATTATTATTATGCAGGACCAATGTTAAGGCAACCAAATCAACCTTCAGATCAGCAGAGGAACCTTTTGTCAATTTAGACTCAGATTTGAACTCAAAATATGTTTTCTCAAAATCCCCCACAGATCTGCTGGGAGAATTCAGCATGCTTAATCAATCTGGAGGAACAAAGCCTCGTGGTTCATCAAATGCTTCACAATCATTGAAGCCGCCTCCAAAACCAGCACAAGATTTGAAGGCTGATAAAGGTTCTTCTGCATCCTTTAGAAAAAATATGTCCAATGTGTATTTATCTTTTGCCATTCCATCATTAGCTTTGTAACATTGAGAGAACCTTGATGCAGTAAAGAGTTCTGGTGCATCTCTGATAGATGAACTTGAAGACTTTGCCATGGGGAGAGTGCACAATAACACTACTAGATCTAAAGAAGCTGATGATGCTACAAAAGGGACTCAACAGAATAGAGAAGATGACCTGGAATCCTTTTTTGGTGCGAGTTCCAGATCAAATAGTGCACCAAAGTCAAGGGCAACAACTTTGGTGAGCACTATAGATGTGATAAGCACCACCGCTTTCTAAAAGCTGCAGAATTTTGTATTGATACTCTTTCTTTATCTTCTTATCAGGATCCCATGTTTGAACAAAATACGCATGACAGACAGCAAAAGACATCTGCAGGTGCATCACCAACTGCAAAGAAGGCTTCTCCTGTCACCATGACAAGTGGAATAGATGACCTTTCTTTTATTTTTGGAGGTATTTTGTTGCTGAGATATAAAAATGGACTTTATCTTTTATAAAAAAAAGGACTATGTCTGGCTATGGAAGTTATATTTGTACATTAGCTCTTTGATGTTAATCTTTTTTATATCTTTTGTTCTCAAAAGCTGCCTCAATATCTGGGAAATTCGAGGAAGTTGCAGGGGAAAGTGAAGAAAGACGAAGAGCCAGATTGGGGCGTCACCAAAGGACCCAGGATCGAATGGTGTGTATACCTTAAAGTTGGCTTTTTTTTTTATAGGAATAGAAGGCCTCATTAAAAACCTCCCTCATAGTTGCCTCTTGTGTGGAGACAAATAGCGGAAGGAGGAAAAGAGTGCCTTGATATATTAATAACCCATAATTACATAAGAATACCAAGCATAGAAACATAACCAAAATAATACACCAGAACCACAACTCATAACAACAACCTCCTCACTCACTAACCAATTCCTGACTTAGCTAGACAATCAGCTTCCTCATTAATACATCTGCTGATATGATTAATAATAACATTAGAATGCACAACTGTCTTCTGAATTTCTGTAATCAAATCAACAAGGTGAACCGGGCAAAGTTCCGGGCTATTGATCCACTTCACAGCAAGAAACGAGTCACTTTCTAAAATCAGAATTCCCTTGTCCCTCCAAACTGAATAAAAAAACACTGCTAACCCCGCTTTGATCGCAAAAATCTCAGCAAGAATAGGAGAACAAGGTCCTAATGCTCTAGAGAAGGAAACCAGCTTGTTATTATTAGCATCTTTAAGAACTCCACCAACACCACTTCTTCTCCAGTCATAGTTAACAGCCCCATCAACATTCATCTTAAAATAACCGGTAGGAGGAGGGCACCATTTTAATCTTGACAGTCTTAAGTTAGAGGGGGACTTATGCATATCCGCCATCTTAAAGTTGGCTTATTTTTTATTCCTTAATTATTTGAATTACATTAAATTAGTAGAAGTATAAGAAGTAATTTACTGGTGAGTGCAGAAATACAGTCAAGTGAACAATGATATATGTTTCTGATTTTCTCACTCATGCTTCCTCACATATATAAACACGCAAATAAAGAATGAACAGCCTGAGGCCTCCAAGGGGTGCCAACCCAGGCACAAGGCTAATTTTCCAGGACAAAATTTAAAAGAAATGCTAAGCATCTAGCTCAAATGTGGGCTGATAATTAAAGCGGTTTTGGCGATCACCACACTCCATCTTATGCTGTTTTAGCCATCTTTGAGCTTCATACTTATATAGTGAACCTCATTGCCACTCTCCTGAATAACTGACCCTTTAGTGCTTGTTGTGATTTGTATATCGGTATGCATTATGTGCTGGCAAAAAGGCCTGGCAAACACCTTGGTTCGCACCTTTATTGATAGACCACTCTCTCTCTCTATCTATCTATCTATCTATCTATCTATATATTATAATAAAGATTATATTTTCTTTATAAAACATAGTTCAACTTTTAACAGTTCTGGATTGTTTTTGTGCTAGGCTAGAGCAGTTGCTGATATGAACCAGCGTGATCTTCAATCACTGAATGAGCAAGAAGAGAGGCGTGTGAGTAGTTCAGTCGATGCCTTTATTGTAGATTAGATATGGGTTTCTCATTCTTCATGGTTTATGCTCTTTACATGCTTTTGCACCATTTCTTTGTTTATGTCATGAATTCTTGACATCTAGTGAGTTTGTTGTTCACCTTAATTTCCATAGAGGATTGCTGAAGCCATGGATTTTGAGATAAAACGCTGGGTTGCTGGGAAGGAAGGCAATATGCGTGCACTGTTATCATCATTGCAACAGGTGTGCTCCTGATCATTTTCCTATTCTCTGCATTTACCTTGTAATAAGAAATTATCAGTTTGATGTTTTGAAATCATTATTGAATGTTTAGAACTTTTGGCTTCTTGGTTTGCACAACTAACCTTTTACCTTAACAAATAGGTACTTTGGCCTGAATATGGTTGGGAGCCAGTTTCACTTACTGATTTGATAACCTCTGGCTCTGTCAAAAAAGTTTATAGGAAGGCCACATTATGTGTCCATCCTGACAAGGTTCAGCAGAAAGGTGCCACTCTTGAACAAAAATATATTGCTGAAAAGGTTTTCGATATTCTCAAGGTACGCCATGAATCTGATTATGATTTACAAGGAATCATTTATTTAAAAATTGGCTGTATCCTCAAGGACCACTTTACATCCTTTATGAAAGAATGGATAAAATGAAGTTCAAAACTCTGATTTTTGGTGTGGTTGGTCCAGTCTATCAAGTACTTATCTGTAGTGATGCATCTTTAAGTAAAACATGTTTCATTTGGATGGTTTTTTCGTTAGAAAATCCGGGATCAGGTAAGAGACGGTACTTTAGAAATGCTAGATATCCTATCTTAATTGTTTTTCATCTTTTAGGACACCTAGCAAACATCAAGCTTAAAGCATCCAATGAATAAGTACGTTTGAGAGTTTTGTATGTAAACAAATGGAAAAATAAGTTTTAAGCCAAGGCTAAGGAAAAGAAAAGAAAACAACCTTTTTAACATGGCTGGTTATATAATCATTTTATTATGCATTGAAACAGGAAGCTTGGAACAAGTTCAGCAAGGAAGAACTTTCTTAGAACCCAGAAGGTATAGTTCATTTGAAGAGTTCGAGCTATTTTTATTAGGCAATGGTTCATTTTTGGAACTGAAGATACACAACCAGCCTTAGTCGTGTTATGAGTTTGCAAGGGCACCATCCGAACATTGCCATTGCTATTTGGGGACTTTTATCAAGAGATGAGATGCTTGTTAAGGAACCAAACTTTTTCATGTTTGACTGTAAATTAATATGGATTTGGGGGAAGCAAGTAGATTCCACAATATTTACTAAACCTGTTTCATTTGTTTATGCCATATGTAGAATTTTCTTCTCTTATATTGTTTCAGCTACTATGATTCTAGTTCCACTTTGTTTTTAAGACCTTGCATGTGTTGTAATTTCGGGTTAATTGTATTAACTACCATTCCATTTTTGTGTGATTTCAGACATTGGATTTATGTAAATTGGTCCTTGTTAGTCCCTTGTTAATGGCGTTAAGAAAAAAAATACAGTTTCAGTCAAAACTCAAAAGAAACTGGACACGTAAAAACAAGTATACTAGTTTGATGTATGTTTGCAATAAGAACTCCAAAGAGGCAGCCAGATAGCGAAAGTGATCTATTTGGAAAAAGATTGATGTAACTAGAACAAGATCATACAAAATATTATATCAGAAACAAACTTAATGAGGATTCATTTCATTTTTAATAGCAGCAGCCAGCTGATCGTAGGCTTCTCCCCAAGCATTCTTCATTTCTGGAGACCACATTTCTGGTACTGCTTCCTTTATCGTCTCCAACAATGCGTATTTTGTATCCTACATAATGCATTGTCAGTGGTAAACGGACCCCGCTTGTGACTATATTCTATGGTGAGTAGGATCATTACCTCAAAATGTTCATCCACAACACCATATTTGAAATGAGTGGCACCTAAATCTTTCAGATTGGATTCTCCCACTGTAACTTTTCCCGTCTTTCGAAGTTGGATAGCTGATTCACAGGTCTGCAAACTAGTCCTTTAAATTCACTATATAGATTGGGGATGAGTCTAAAATACAACAGGTTAATATAAAATGAGAGAGGGATAGCATCAACATACCATAACAAACACAGTCATGGCATGGGGTCTGAGTTTTGGGTTTTCCTCTAGAGGTATATCTGAATCCCTCAACAAGGTGAACAGCCTCTTAGCAGAAGGCCAATCTCAAAAATCCTGGAAATTTTTAATTTTCGATCCACTTATGATATCGTAATGAAATATAACAATTATCAAATAGGATGGATGGTTATCAGTAAATTGAAAAAGTAGAACTCTTAGATAATTAACCTCAAGAAGAATTTGAGACCAAGTTCACCATAATTTTTCTTCATGGAATTCCATGATTTGACAACCAAAGCTTCTTGTTCTGGACTAAATGCCCTCACTTTGAATTCCACATCTCTATTCACACCTTTTTCTATAGGAAGATAGAAAAAAAAAAGGTAAACCTCTTATTTAGTCACTCAATTATATAAGTTGTTTTATTTTTTTGTTAATTAACTATTTTTTTCAAAAGCATACATAACATTATGTTTTGATTTCATTTTGGTCATCTGTCGTTAAAATATAATAGAATTGTTGTCATGATACTTTTTATTTTTTAATTATGACGTAACATTATCTTATGATGACATGTCAACATCACCGTTGATTTCCTAACTACGAGTGACCAAAATGAAACCAAAATGTAATGTTAGGTATGATTTTAAAAAATAATAACTGGATCACTAAAATTGAACCACACACATAGTTGGGTGACTAAAGACAGAATTGACCCAGAAAATTAGGAAGGGATACAAATTTCTTACCATAAGTTGATGGAAAAGAGTGGAAAAAAATACTTGAGATGGACTTTGGAGCTGCAAAAACAAGATTCCTCTTGACCCATGAAAACTCCCGGGATGGATGATGTATGAGTATCGATCCATAGTTTTTATTTAAACAAAATTTTGGCATAAATGTTGCACCAGCTGCAGTGCAGGGTAAAAAGGATGACGATATGAACAAAGTTGGTAATGAAACGACAGATGAGGAAAGTCACTAACCATTGGAGAAAAGCAGGGGATTAGGTCTTGAAGCAGATGAGGTGATTGCCGTGAGATTCATATCTAAGAATGAGAGTTTGGAGTCTAACCAGCAGCAAGAGTTGTAGCTTATATTTCCAGATGGTTTATTTCCTTTTCGTTTTGTGCACAAAGAAAATGGGAACTTGGCTTACAAGTGGACAAAACAAGACTAACCTTCCGAGTGTGAGAAAGCCAACGTTGTTTTCTTTTATGTTATTTTATTCTGGTGCATGTACCAGGCGAAAAGGCTTTGAAAGTGGAGTGGTTAAAACTTAAAACACCTACTTTTGTTTTTGTTCCAAGGATAAAACACTCAACTTTAAAACCTTATAACTTGACACTTATTTCTTGTTGTTCGGGAGTCTACTGTGGCGGATCCACTGAAGCGTATGACTTGACACTCAAATTTTATTCTAGGCACCCGCAGAGTTTACATAAATTTTATTTTGTGGTGTATGGAAAATGAGTTACAATGAGTTCTACGTATAAGATCATACTTTAGTTCTGAATTAGCAGGTATGCAATTCTGATTTTTAAATTAAAGAAGTTCATCGGAATGAACAGAGAATTCAGATTCTGATTGCTCATCCCATCAAAACTGACTTTCAATTTAGTATAAAAAAGCTGCTGTTTTTTAATTATCAAAGTAAAGATAAACCGAGCTCGAATTTCAATCAAAAAGCTCCCATTCTTCTTCACACTAACACGAGTATTCATAGCTCTTAGGGGGTGTATGGGTGGGGGAAAGGATTATTTACTCGAGGGGAAATTTTTTCTAGAATTTAATATTCATGGTTGGATTGGAAATATTCTCCATAGGAAGTAATAACTCATTCCTAACAATTGCATTTTGAGGGTGTTTTACTGAGAATATCAATCCCACCTATTGCTTAGGTATTTGTCTATTCATATCAGTTTAGATTAAAATACCCTTAAAACAATATAATTATTTCAAAAATACCTTCCCTTAAAATTTTAATATATTTTTAGATAGATAATATAAAAATTAATATTAATTAAAGTTAAAAGAATATATGATATATTTACTCTTTTATTCTACCATTTATCTTTTAAATTTTGAAAAAAAATATATATATAAATTTTATGAATTAAATTTTATAAAAAAATATATAAATTATAAATTATAAAATAATTTATTTTATATGAATTTTCTATAAATATTTTTATTTGAATATTTAGAATTCAACTTGTTAAACAATATAACACAAGGACGATTTGATAAAATATATATTCCAACAACCTTTTATTATTTTAACCAAACACTGTAATCTTACATTCCTCTGCCAAACAAACCAAACAAAGTAATGTAGCATTCGTATCAGATAATGTTACATTTCGATAGTCATATTCCCAAAGGTAATACTACATTCCATGAACCAAACGTATCTTTAAAGCAACAAACAAAAGATTTTCAATTTTTATGTAAAAAAAACATGATGGGATTTACATAGGTAAAGTTTACATATTTACTATTTAGAGATTTATGATTGAGTGCATTAATCACAATATTAATTTTATTCGAATAATATTCATTTACTAAATCATAATCTTTCAAAAGTTCTATCCAATGCTTTTACAAGAGGTTCAACTATTTCTAAGTCATAAGATATTTAAGATTCTGATATGTAAACATGTGATATCTCTTTTTATAGAGATAAATGTCTCCAAATCTTTAGAGCGAACACAAATGTATCTAATTTGAGGTTATAAATTGATTAATTTAGTTTATATGAATTCAAATAGATAAATTACAACTTTCCCTTCATGCATCAAGATACAATTATATAACTTTAGCTGTTGTGTAATGTGTCACTGAACATTGTATAATTATTTATCGATTCAAGTGGGGTTAAGAGTGGAACATTAGTAAGAATATAACAGACTCATCTGATTTGACAATATTATAAAAAAAATAATAACTTGATGAAATTTTAAATATAATTGATTATATTTATTAAATTTGTTTTAAATTAGTATCAAATTAACAGAATGTGTGAATTTTAAAGAGATAAATGTCTCCAAATCTTTAGAGCGAACACAAATGTATCTAATTTGAGGTTATAAATTGAGTAATTTAGTTTATATGAATTCAAATAGATAAATTACAACTTTCCCTTCATGCATCAAGATACAATTATATAACTTTAGCTGTTGTGTAATGTGTCACTGAACATTGTATAATTATTTATCGATTCAAGTGGGGTTAAGAGTGGAACATTAGTAAGAATATAACAGACTCATCTGATTTGACAATATTATAAAAAAATAATAACTTGATGAAATTTTAAATATAATTGATTATATTTATTAAATTTGTTTTAAATTAGTATCAAATTAACAGAATGTGTGAATTTTAAAGTAAAATACACTTATAGTACCTAAACTATTACTTTTGTTTCGTTTTAGTACTTAAAATTTATTTTTTTTCCAAAATATATCTAATTTTTAGTTTAGGTTTCATTTTTATGGGTAAATTACATCATTCAACACTCAAATATATTCTCTTTCCTATTTTGGTCGCTAAAGTTTAAAAAGTTTCAATTTAACTACTCAACTTTTAAATTACTCATGTTTTAATCGCTCTACTTTATTTTATTAATAATTTGTTACATAATATTTTTATTATTATTTTATTAATATATAAGTAAAATAAAAAATTAAATTTGAAAGATAGAGTGATTAAATTAGGAGTAATTTGAAAGTTAAGTAATTACATTAAAAAATTAAACTACAGTGACCAATATGAGTGAGAAGATAGTTGAGTGATGAATAATGTAATTTACCCATAAAAAATGTCAATGTACAATAGTACCATTAAGTTTTTAATGGTGAAGTATCAAAACGGAACAAAAAGTAAACATTAGACAAGATTATTTAAAAAATTAAAGTTTAGGTACCAAAATGAGATAAAAATAATAATCTATATACTAAACGTTTAGTTTACCTTAAATTTTAAGAACTAAAATTATTAATACTGTCAGAACCGTCTTTCGGTTGGGCCTCAGAATTGGGCTTCGACTTGAATTGATTGGGTTAGAGTCGCCACCGATCACTTTAAAATGACATTTAGGTAGGTTGAACACCATCTTACCTGATCTGCGTTTTACCAGAAATGTGTCGAGTTCAAGAATCAGTTACGAT